AGGAGCACAGTACCAATCGCTTTACGTGAGTAACGTTAGTCATTGCAACAAGCCTAGGATACAGGTACTATTATTTATCCTCATTTTGCTGAGACTTCAGAACGGCAGAGCAACTTGCTCTAAATCACACAGGTTTATGTGGAAGAGCAAGTATCTGAACCCAAACTGTCTGCCCCCAAGGTCTGCACTTATTCCAGGCTGTATTACCTCCTGGGTGGAAACGAGTTCATTGCATCTTTGTTGTGGTATCACTAATGTTCAAGGACCAGAAACTCTAGTGCGGCCAAAAATCATCTGACAACAGAAGCTGGACCATCTCCCAGGAAAACCCCCCTCCCCAGCTCCCGCATCAGGACCACCAATTTCACAAATCTTGCTCATGAATAGCAAAACAAAAGGCACCTAAGTTACGGAAAGTGATCCACAGAGTTAACTTAGAAGTTAAAGATGAAGAGAGACACATGGCCTTCACCTTGCCCTGCCTCAACCTCCAGAAATGCCTGAGTCCAAGGCCAGGGCCAGCTGGGCTGGTTGCAAGGATTCTGTAGAGGCTATTCCATGGTGAGGGGAAAACAGGCAGAAGGAGGGTAGGCGGGTCTTCCTAAGTAAATCCAGATCCCAGTCAGGGCAGCTGCGAGGCTTCCCTGAGTCACTCCCATCTCTACATACTACACCCAGGAATGACTTAGCACCAAAACACCAACGGACCTCATGAGTGGAAAGGGCTGAGAACACGCATCCAAGTCTAGGGACTAAACTTCAGAAACACTGAAGGCAAGCTGTCCACACATAACTCAAGCCTCCCACCAAAACCACCCCACTCCCCAGTGGGAGGGACAGGGTCAGACTGGGAAGGGCAGAGGTCCCCAAATGAGCTCAGCATTGGACAAGAGGGGAAGGGCTGCCGGGCAGGACTAGGGAGACCTCAAATGAGCTAGGAAAAGAAATGGAAGGAGCTGGAGTATGAAAAAATAACCAAAATACAAGAAGCAGAACCAGAGAGGGAAAATGAGGAGAACCAAGCGTCCTCTGAAACCGAGAGCTAGCGGGGGACACAAGGCTCAGGGGGCAGCAAACTAAGAATGAGACACTCTTTGCCTGTGTGTAGATCGGAGTGACTGGGACCAAGGGCCTGGGTAGTGGGAATGACTGGGGAGCAGGGGGATCAGTAACTGGAACTGGGACTCAGGGAGTCTAGGAGTTAGGAGGGACTGAGACACAGGAGGTCTGAGAACTGGGGGTCGGTAACTGGACTGGGGGGTCGGAGGATTGGGAGGGACTGGGGGATCTGGGGGACAGGTGTCCAGGAGCTGGTTGTAAGTGATGGACAGGAGTCAAGGGACTAGGAGTGCCTGGACCGGGGACGCCAGAAAAGTGCAGGTGACCAGAAGCCAGGAACTGGGCGTACATGGGGGTCAGGAAACTGGGAGCGATGGGACGGGGTCCGCGAGCGAGCGGGACGCGGGGACTCGGGGGCCGGAGTGTGCAGCTGGTGCGGCGGGAGCCGGGGCGGCTTGGGCGGGTGACAGCGGCCAGGCCTCCACTCACCGCTCATGGTGCCGCTCCCCGGGCCGGTGCCTGCCGTGCCGCCGCCACTGCCGCCACTGCCGCTGCCGCCCTCCAGACAGGCCAGGAGACGGCGCGCCCCGCCCTGCCTGCCGCCCCGCCCCGGAAGTACAGCCCAGCCGGCGCGGCCCCGCCCCCGACCCGGAACGTAAACACCCGTGCCGGGCGGCAGAGTTGGGGCGATGCTACACGAGCCGAGGCTGCTGGGCGCTCGAGGCAGACCGGAGACCCCCGCAGCGACGCCTCGCGATCCGCAAGGCGGGGACCGGACGGGACGCCTCCCCGGCATCCTGGGCTCACACCTCTGTCGGGGAGCCAGACGGGACGGTGGCCACGAGAAATGAGACAACGCGGTTCCAGAGAGCGCTAGAAGCGGAACGGGGAAATTTTAAAAGAGGAATGAGCCAAAGCGTGGGGACAGGGGAAGTGGGCGGTCCCGGGGGGCCACTCTCTGGAGACGACTTTAGAGACCAGAGACCTGGATGGTAAGAGGGAGACGGCCTGGGAAGATCGACGGGAAGGGTGTTCCAGAAGGAGGGGTTGACTGGAGTGAAAGGGTGAGCGAGAAAAGGGTGTGAGAGAGGAGACTGAAGAGGTAGGTGGAGGGCCCTGCAGACCATGGTGAATGGGTTTGACTTCCTGCCTAACTCTAAGGAGATAAGGGAATGCGAAATCTTTATAGAATTTAAGTAGGGGAGTGATGCAATGTGAATTTTAAGGTGATTCCTCTTCCTGGGTTGAGAATGAATTGTAGTGGGGCAGGGTGGAGAAGGGTCAGCTGGTTAGGCGGCCACTGCAATTGTCTGGCAAGAGATACTAGTGCCTGGGGCTAGGGTGGTGGCAGTGGTGTGAACGTAGATGGGTCTTGTTTGAAAGAAGGTCAGGTTACTGCCCCGTTTTACAGATAAGGGAAAGGGGACTCAGAAAGGTTAAAGGAGTGTTTTCCCAACTTGTTTTGCCCACAACCCAGAGTAAAAGAAAATGCATTTTACACCACAACCCAGTACACAAATACATACATTTAAGAAGCTGTTTAACAAAACAATTCTGTAGGTAATGTATTCTCTTCGCCTTTTCTTTTTTTCAATGCTGACTGAGACGATTGATCCACTCCTAAGTCTTGATCCACAAAACACTGAATTGAGGCCCCCACGGGGAAATGGAGCCAGAATTCCAGCCGAGTTCTGCGTGACCCACATCCCCATGGTCTTCCTACTACATTGCCTCTCAACACATACTCTCTGGCCCCTGGAAATTTACCTTTTGGATTCAGCAGAAATCAAGAGATCTTTGGAGAAGGGTGCTCTGCAGCATTATTTATAATAGAGAAAAAATGAAAAGCACCAAAGCCAGGTTACAGAAGAATAGCTAAGCAAATCATGGCCCACCTCACAAAGAATCTCGTAGTTTAAAGTGCTAATTATAAAGGTTATGGAAATGCGAGGAAAGGCCAGTGATAATAGAATAAGTTTAAAAAAGCCCCATGCAGGGAACTTCCCCGTGGTCCAGTGGTTAAGCCTACATGCTTCCACTGCAGAGAGCATGGGTTTGATCCCTGGTCAGGGAACTGGTAAGATCCCACATGCCACACGGTTTGGCAAAAAAAAAAAAAAAAAAAAAACACAAAGCCCCATGCAAAATGGTCTGTACACCATGATTACAATTGTGTCAAAGTCAAAATACAGCCATGTGCAGGGACTATGATAGAATGTAAAAATGAAAATACTTGTGTGTTTGGTTGGGGGGTTGTTTTCCCCATTTTCAACATTGTACTTTGTAGTTTTTGCTAATTTGTTATTCTAGTTAAAGAGTCAGTGTGTCTGAATCCCTCCTCTCCCCCGCAGAAAGCCTAGTTTAGGTCTGTCTGCCTCTGTAACTTTTGGTGAGACATCACATACTTGCTTCATGGAATTGTCATGAGGATACGTGTTATACCTTCTCCTAGCGCCCTGTACCCTTTCTTCATGGCACTTGAGATGGGATAGGTTATTGAACTTGTAGAGGGTGCTTTACATTTTCCACCACCAGCCACCCTCCTTTAAGTATTGTAATTCCTTCCTCCTGAGATTTAGCCTGGTACTGGAGGACCAAGAATCAAAAGCCTAAGGTCAGCAGCTCTTCTGGGCTTTTGAAAAAAATCTAAACTCATTGAGGGGGGTGAGGGGAGAAGGAAGAAGGCTTGTGAGAAACTAGGAGGAATATTCCCAGGCCATATAACAGAAAAGGAGTGTGTGCCTGCCCTCAAAGAGACTAGACCTCAAAGCACTAATAAAAACCATGATGGCAACGTAACTAACACAAAGTACTTAATATGAACCAGAAACTTTTCATGGGAATAAATAAATAATAAATGTATGTGTGTGTATATTTTCATTTAATCCTTAAAACAACGTTATAAATAGATACTATAATTATCCCCATTTTACAGATGGGGAAACTGAGGCCTAGAGTGGTTAAGTAACTCTCACAGTTACCCAATGTCTATAACTTCCTAGTAATAGAGTCTGGAGTCAAACTCCAAGAGCCAGTGCCTTCACCACTATACTGTGTTGTCTCCTATGGCCCTCAAAGGCCTGGAATGGAGCCATAATGGGCCCTGAGTGGGTCAAAAGTTCCCACCAAGTTTCCCCATACCCCAAACCTGACACAAAAGCCACAAAGCCCCAAGACCTTGAGGGTCTCTGCTGTGGTGCCAGTGGGCATCTTAACAATGATCAAAGTCAACAGATTACCAGAGGGCACTGCCTATTGCACAGCCCTTTCCATAGCAGCTCAGGACCTTTGCAAAACCCAAGGAAGGCAGCCCTCTCCCAGTAATGACTAAGATTGTAGCCCAAAGAGATGAGGAAACTCAGAAATGGAATTAAATTGATGTGAAGAGAAAAAAGGGAATAGATCAGAATGTCTGGGTTTAAATCTGGCCCTGCCATTTACCGGCTATGTGATCTTGCTCTGATTCTGTTTCTGTCATCATCTGTAACAGGCAGATAATAACGATCCACCTACCTTGTGGTTTGTTGTATATATTAAATGAGTTAGTACAGGTAAAACACTTGGAACGACCCCTAGCACCTTAGTAAGGGTAAATAAGTGCTAGCTATCCTTATTATTACCTGCGTGTAGATGCAAAAACGATACCTAGTACCCATTAATCACAGTTTGCAACTACACGTTTATTTATATGATTGTAATAATGCCTGATGCCTCCATGAAGCTGAAAGCTCACAAGGTCAGGAACTGGCCATGCACTGCACACTGAATTAGTGTGGCTGGCTCTAGGCTTCTCCTGTAGATAGAAAGTACATAGGATGACCTTGCTTTCCTTTAACAATAAAAAGAAATCCAGTCTGTCGTGAAATGGGTGTGTACATGTATAGGAGAGAAGTGGTCTAGCCACAGAAATGTGTGACTATGGAATCTACACATTGCAGTGCTTTTTTTTTTTCAGTGAGTCAATTTAATCATGAAACCAAGGAAGTTTCCACAGCTAAGCTCCCAACAGTAAGGTAGAAAAATATATCTAACAAAGATTTTCCAGAATTAGAGAACAAAAAGCCATATCATCCACTGATAAGTACAATCATCCTAAACAGATCCGATATATCATCCTTTTCTTCTGACAAAAGATTTTCCAAGTAGCTCTATACCATTGAAATGGTTAATTAGCTGGGAAAACTGATTTCTCCATCCCCGTGACACTCGTGACACTCGAGGCAGCTAGCAGGCTGTTGCAGTAGTCGTTTGTTTTTGTGGTGACAAGAATGGTTGCACCTTCCTCCATGGCTGGGAGTGGAAAGAAATGGTCAGAGTCGACCTTTGGTCTGCTCCTGACACAGTCTTCACACGTACATTCTTCCACTGTGTACCCGAGGCCTCTCGAAAGAAGAGTTTCCGCACCAGTCCCGCCATTGTCGCTCTCATACAGGTCTGCATTCGCATCCTTCTGGAGAGCCGGTCCTGATTATGCAGAAACAGAACTGTTAACCTAAACTTTTCAGGGCGCATGGTTGTGCCAGACTTAACAGCACACATCCGGGATCAAAGCAACGTGAGATGTGTCTCTTCCCACAGAACAAATAAGTGGGTCCTACACTAGAAGTCATGAACTGACAGACCGCGGGCCACATTGGGTTCAAAGACATGCCTGGTTTAGGGCGTACAGTGTTTTTAAGTGTTTGTTTGTCTGTTTTACATTGGCCCACATTTGAAAAGCAAGAGACTTTACATACAAATCTAGACAACTGGCCTCTTTTTTTTTTTTTTTTTTAAGGAAACAAAATGTGGCCACTAGGAGCCAACATTCCTACACGGAAACAATTGGGAGTCGATAGCACCTGTCTCCTTCAAGCAGGGCATGGGCTCCCCTATCGCCGAAGCCTCAAGCAGCCCACTACGTTCATTTCTCACGCACTTGGCCCTTGGATGCATTAAGGTACTGAGCCTTTTCACACATGTGAAATGACAAATTACCATATGTTACAGCACACCAAAATCAGTCTTGGGTGACACTTTAGAATTCACAGTAAAGATGCTTCTCTTACAGAGCATTTTGTGGCAGATTACTTTTTTTTTTAAATGAATCTGTCATGATCACAGAAGGAAGGAGTCTCCACTACATCCCCATATATGTCTATGAAGGCACGTTTACTACTTCCTCAACCTTCTGCAGTGTAACTCCATCTTCCAGAACGTCACACTAAAGTCACTCCCCACCTGTCTCTCAGACCCCAGGCAAAAAACGAGAAATGAGTCAATCGTGTGGAAGAGCCATCTCCCTCCCTTTACTGCACTAGAAAGCAAATGAGGTGGATGCTTCACAGATTATGCATGGAAAATACACGCATAAAGAAATAGGGCAATGGCTGCAAAGTGTTCGGGAATTAGATCATGGGCAAAGGTGCTGAAATATTTTTATCTTACAAAGCCTTTAAGTAGAACATCCACTTCTCTGGGACTGGTTCTCTACTGCTTAATAAAGATAAAAATCTTTGAGATGATTGTTTAAATAATCCAGGAGCAACTGGTATTCATTTCTAGCATTTTTCGCAGTAAAATGTTCACTCAAGCAAACAACACTTATATTTGTATGAAAATATGGCCACGGATCTTGCCAAATATACTTTTCCCAATAGTACCAAACCTGGCTAGCTGTTTCTGATAGCATGACGTTTAATCGATGTGCTAACTTTGTCAAAGAGATGGATGTTTCCCAAGGAAGCCTCAGTACTTCAAAAGAGTAATTAGAAAAAATGTTGGGGAAGGCTGACATTGTAGGACATCAGCAAAGAAGGTGTAAAATTCGAAAAGAAAGCTCGCTTCTTCCAAGAGTTCATTTAACCTGTCATCTAACACACTCAAAAGGGCCCTTACCGGATGAGATACTCAACATGAAAAAAGAAAAGGAACTGAAATTCACCATAGCCACCTCTTGGAAACAGATTTCAAAGATCAACCATCAAACCAACCTGTGTTTTTAAATTCGTCCTTTAATGGCTCGGAGCTCATCTTCCTGAGCAAGAACATCAACACGAAAACTGTCAAAGAAACGATCAAGCTGAGGCCCAAACAGGTCCAGAGAATTGCATTTGTTCCTTTCACTGAATTAAAAGAATGTCAGAGAAATAATGAACTGATAACATCATAACCACATCAAGTAAAGATTATTTGCCGTCCAATTCCCCTCATTCCTCAGCACTGACTTTTAAATTCTAAACCATACTTAATTAGGAGAGCTGATAAAAAATCTCTGCTGTTAACATTGCAGAATAAAATTGAGTTCAGTTCTGAATAATTGTTCGTTCCTGTTGGCATTTAAATGATTGCCTAATTTTCTTCCTCTTTCTGATCCAGAAAATATCACCACCTTCCCCGTAATATTTCTTCTTTGAATAAAGTCAATACAGAGAGAAGACTTCACACCAATGAGGAATTGTTCGAGCAGTATTACTTACTTGTATTACAATAACGCTGACATATTAGAGGAGGGGTATTAGGGCATCGAAGGTGACACGGTTTGCAAGCATTCAGCAATCTGTCAAAATATTCATTTTGGAAGCACTGTTGAGCCATCTGGAACCGGATCGCAAAAAGAAACAAGGAAACCACAGAAAGAACAGCATGGGAGGACAAGTAAAATCTCGTCGAGAATTCCCCAGCAAATGTAATGACAGCTGCTAGAATGTCGAGGGAAAAAAAGAACTTCACATCAATGACTTGGTTCTTATGGGGGCTGACTCTTGGTACCATGGCTAAGGATTTGAATACCAACACTAATTCCAGTTTCTAAGTTTGAGGCCTGGGTGGGGTAAGAGATGGGGCATATGTAGCAAGGGCTATGGTTTATACCTGAAACAGAAACTGCTTATTTATAGAGGAAATTTCTCAGGCAGGTGACAGTTGCAGGATGTCAACAAGCCTGAGGCATCAAGCAGAAGGTTCAGTAACCATTTTGGGAGCATCTGTTTGTGAGCTGTGCTGTGTGATGGGCCCCAGGGAGAGAGATAAGACAAGGTCTGTGTCCCTTAAGAACTAAAAATCTAACAGAGGAGATAGAAATTCACTCGAATAACCACAAAGTGTAGTAGGAAGATAGAATATGAGAGGGAAGGAATACGAAGCATGCCTACCAGGTTTTAAACCTAGGAAGAGTCCCAGAATTCTGACAAATAGGAATTTCTAGGGTAAAAGTTAAATTGGCAGGAGGGTTGGGGGGAAGATAGGTTTGGGACATAATAATAATATATGAATATTAATATATTATTAATATCTATGTTCCATTGTTGAAATTTTAGAAAAAAAACAGTTGAGCATGTAGAAAAATTATCCACAATCATAGCATCCAGAAATAATCGCTGTTAGTATTTGGTGTATCACACAGAGTTTGCAAACAGGCCTGCCAGTGTGTTTTTTTTTAATTTTAATTTTATTTTATATTACAGTATAGTTGATTTACAATGTTGTGTTGGTTTCAGGTGTACAGCAAAGTGATTTAGTTATACATATACTTGTATCTATTCTTTTTCAGATTCTTTTCCCGTAAAGGTTATTACAGAGTATTGAGTAGCGTTCTCTGTGCTATTGCCAATGTGTTCTATTTGGCCAACTCCTGGGAGGATCTCTGTAGGTGGATGGAGGGATAGATAGACAGATAAATAGATAGATAGATAGGGAGGTGCATTTTCCTTTTTACATAAATGGAATCACATGCGTTTGTTTCTAACCATACTGAAAAATAAATCAAAATCTTACATTCCTCTAGGGTCCAGGCAGTGAGGTCAACGGGTGGGTGTGACACCCTGGGTGGGACAACCAGGAGCTGAAAGGGCTGGCCCAGCAGGTCCCACGCCCTCACGCTCCTGCCAAATGGTGACCTTTGGGAGACAGGAAAGGGCACAGGAAAAGCATGATGAGAGATAGGTGAGGACAAAGATTACCCCTCCTATCAGCCAAGCAAGGAGAGCTTCAGGAAAGGATAGGAAGTAGGGTCAAATTCTGCAGAAGAGTCAGAGGTGGTGCACTAAGGAAGGGGGTCATTGGTGGCCTTTGAGTATGTCAGTGGGCATGTTGTAGGTATTTAAGGAGTGGAGAGAAAGAGGAGGTAGCCAAGGTGGGCCACGCCTGGGAAGTCTGGTGGAAACCAGAACTGAGCTTTGATATCTCTTGGAAAAGAAAGCACTACTGTTTCTGACAGATGTACTGGCTCAGGTGCCTGCAGTCCCATGTAGAAGGACATTCACTGCAACATCATTTGTATTCACAAGATCCTGTCCATCAGTGGGGAATCCACTGTAAAATATGACACAGCCATCAAAAAGAATGAGACCAATGTGCTCTGATATGAACACTACATCACCAAGTGGAACATTCAAGGTACTGAACAGTGTGTTTATAATCTTCTCTCCTGTGTTTACAAAATAAAATATGTAGGGTCTATATATAGAGATATAAACATACGCTACATCTGGAAAGATACTCAGGAGACTGATAATAATCACTGCCTCTGGCAAGAGACATAAAGTCCAGGGTGGAAGAAAATGTTAAAAACTTACTTTTCACTGAAAAATCTTTGGTACTGCTTGAATAACTTTTTTAATAATAATGATTATTTTTTTAATAAGAATCATGTTTTTAAAGGGTGGTGTCTTAGTCCATTCAGGCTGCTATACAAAATACCATAGACTGGGTGGCTTACAAACAATAAAAATATATTTCTCACGGTTCCGGAGGCTGGGAAGTCCAAGATCAAGGTGTCAGCAGATTTGATGTCTGGTGAGAGCCCACAGAGAGCTAGCTGTCTTTTCACTATAAACTCTCATGGTGGAGGGGGCAGGAGATCTCCCTAGAGTCTCTTTTATAAGGACACTAATCCCATTCATGAGGGCTCCACCCTCATAACCTAATAATCTCCCAAAGACCTCCAAATGCCATCACACTGGGGATTAGGTTTCAATGTAAGAATTCGGGGTCGGGGGGCACAAACATTCAGTCTACAGCAACTGGGGAGCTTGGAGGAGGGAAAAGAGCAGAGTGAAAGAAAAGTTTCCCAAAGATGAAGAGCATAGGCTAAGGGGGGAAGAGTAAAGATTAAAGAAGTCAGAGAAACCAGTGATGGGCAAAGTCTGAGACAGTGTGAGGCCTGAAAGCCAAAGCACAAAGGAAGCCCTTCCCCGGCACCCTCACTGAGCCTTACGAGCAGTGAGGTTGCTCTTAATCCCTTGTAGGCCTCGGGCATCTTGAAGAAGCCCAGGAATGGCTCCATCCTCAGAGAGGTCACCTGAGACATCTCCTGGCATGTTGCCAAGCCTCTCAGATGTGCTGGGTGGGCTTCCAGGGATCAGGCTGGGAGGCTTCATCTTGCCTCAGGCTCTCTCCCCACAAGCACCTCCTCTCCCCCAGTTGTTTCAAGCTTGAACCAGAGAGCACAGGCCTTGGAGCTGTACCACATCAATGGATGGGCGGCCCAGAGAGGATGGTGATGCCATCCTGCTGAGACTCCCCAGGGTAGCTCTGGTCCCTCCCCTTCCCCAGGTTTGCTGTTCAGCTTGTTCAGCTCTCTCTTTGATTCTGTGAGGAAAACCTGTGATCCTTCCAATAAAATCCCATTTTGGCTTAAGTTAGCCAGAGTCAGTTTGGGTTGGTTGCTAACAATCCAAAAATAAAAATAAAATCCTTAACCGTTTTATCCCATTCTTAACTAATTCCTCCACTCTTGCCTGAAATGTCGACAATAGACACTGATTGAGGGCCTTCCCCTTTGCTCCTCAGGATGGGGGTGACTGGTGAATTCTGGCATCTTAGGCTCAGCTGCTTCTCCTCCATGACAGGGAAGGAGGTGGGGAAACACAGACAGATAGAGATAAGTGTGCAAAAGGATTTGGGAGATGTCATACTAGTCAGGACTCTTTCCATAAGAAATGACATAAACACTGAAGTTCAAAAAGAATTTACTGGTATTATTGCTGAAAAGTCCAACGGTAAAATCAGCTTTAGTAGCTCGACTTTTGTCCAAGTTTCTCTCTGTCACTTGCCTCAGCAATGCCATCTTCTGGGTCTTGGCTCCATTCCCAGGTATTTTCCTCATGGTCACAAGAGAGCTGCAGCACTTGCAGCCCTCACACACTAATTCCTTCTAAACTCTCCCTCATCATCTCATCTGCTCCCATGTTTTACTGTTTGCTTGATTTTTGTTTTTTGTTTTGTTTTCGTTTTTGTTTTTTTTGGCCATGCCATGTGGCTTGCGGGATCTTAGTTCCCCAACCAGGGATTAAACCCATGCCCCCTGCAGTGGAAGCGCAGAGTTGGGCCACCAGGGAATTCCCTGCTCCCATGGTTTGAAACGTGTTACCTTCCAAATCTATATATCCAACTCCAACCTTGGCCCTGAAATCCAAACCTATCTACCAACTGCCTACTTGGTACATCCATTTCAAGTCTAAGAGGCATCTCAAACTTTATCAAAGTGCATTTGGATTCTCCAAAAGGGAAAGAATGTATGCAGTCTTTTCAAACCTACTTGGTCATTGAATTCCTTTTTTCAAGGGCCACCTATGAACATCTAGGAATATATGTTTTATGGAACATAATTTGGGAAAAATCAGGCCAGATTATCTCCACAATTTCCTCCAGTTCTCAAAGGCTGTGATTTGGGGATTTGGCATAGTGACAGTAAAACAGAAGGAGCATGGCTTTAAAGCAAGGATTTTTTTTTTTAAGTTTCGTGATAAAGTTTGTTGATATGATAACATCACCAAAAGAGTGCTGGGTTTGACCTCGCTCTACACAGAAAGAACAGGGAGGAAAACCAATCCCCAAGTCAGCATCAAGCTTCAGCAGTCACTCAACGCTCTAAAGAAGCGAAGCGACGCTGCCTCAAACTTCCAAAGCCATTAGCGTGTTCTGCAAGGAAAATTCCATCCATTTAAAAGATCCTTTATCCAAATTACTAAACTACCAGCAAGCTTTCACACCAGAACACTTTGACCTTTTAGCTCTTAACTCTAAACCAACAGTACACAAGTTCTTCCCAGGACTTTAGTAGATTTTTCACTTGGAGAGGGAAATCTAGACCTGCATTAGTCCGGGTTCTCCAGAGAAACAGAACCAACAGAATGTACATATAGAGAGAAAGAGATTTCCTCTAAGAAACTGGTTCACACAATTATGGAGGCTGAGAAGTCCTAAAATGTGCAGTTGGCAAGCTGGAGACCCAGGAAAGTCAACAGCGATGGTGTAGTTTCAGTCCAAGTCTGAAGTTCCAGCTCAAGAGCCAATGGTGTGAGTTCCAGTCCAAGAGCCAGCAAGCTCGAGACACAAAAAGAGCTGATGTTTCAATGTCTGAAGACAGGAAAAGGCTGGTGTCCCAGCTGAATAGTCAGGCAGATCTTCAACTCTCTGCAGGAGGGCAGTCTACTTTTACTCAGTGTACTCATTCAAATGCTAATCACATCCAAAAACACCCACACAGACACACCCAGAATAATCTTTGCCCAAATATCTGGGCCCCATCAAACTGACACATAAAATTAACCATCACAAGGCCCTTGACTACACATCCAATCCTTGCCTTCTGTTGACCTCCTTGAATAACCTCTGTGTTATGCTGTGCTACCTGGTTACTGTGGGAGCTGTGTCTCCCAGAATCCCCATCCCTGCACGGCTCCAGGATAGAGCTGGCCAACAGAGGAACATGAATGAGACTGGGAAAGCGGATGGGAAGCAGCAGCCACTGTTCTCCGAAGGACATCACAGTCACATGCAGTGACGGATGGTCACAAAGATGCCTAATGGGTTCAGGTACATCCTCATTCTCCTTTGCTCTACATCCAGCTCTTCTTCCCACCTGCTGGCCCTGCTGAACAACAGCAGCCCCAGCCCCACCATCTTGCCATCAGCTTACCTGCTGATTCACAGAGGCGGGGGCCACACACAACTGTACAAGCTCTCCCTCGCGGCCCTCTGTTAGCAACTGGATGTTCCCGACTTCTCAGATCAACTGGTCGGTGATTCCACTGGTCCTCACCTCCCCAGCTCCTCTCACAATTGTGGAAGGTCTGATTCCTACAATATGTCCCTTACACTGCACCACTCATGGTGGCTCAGCTCCCCTGACCATCCTTGACTGATACACCTCTTTAATCTTGTTGTCTTGAACCTACAGTTGAAATGATTCACTAAGAACTGTCCAGATCCTGCACGCAGAGTGGCACAGCATTATGATTAAGGCACAAGTTTTGGAGCCAGAAAAATCTGAAGCCCAGCTTCACCACAGTGGATCCTGTGTGGCCTTGGGCAAGTGGTCTAACCTCTCTGAGCCTCAGTTTCCTTATCTGTAACAATGTCCTTGATAATATATCAACTTCCTGGGATTGTTGCCAGGATTAAGTAAGATAATCTCTAGAACTCATAAATTTATGTGCAGGACTTCCCTGGTGACGCAGTGGTTAAGAATCTGCCTGCTGATGCAGGGGACATGGGTTCAAGCCCCAGTCTGGGAAGATCCCACATGCTGCGGAGCAACTAAGCCCGTGCACCACAACTACTGAGCCTGCGCTCTAGAGCCTGCAAGCCACAACTACTGAGCCCACGTGCCACAACTACTGAAGCCCACGCGCCTAGAGCCTGTGCTCCGCAACAAGAGAAGCCACCACCATGAGAAGTCCGCGCACCGCAACAAAGCGTAGCCCTCACTTGCTGTAACTAGAGAAAGCCTGCGTGCAGCAACGAAGACCCAACACAGCCAAAAATAAATAAATAAATTTATGTGCAAATAATTTATGAGCACAGTTCCTGGACCAGAGGAAGTGCTCAGCAAACTTTAGTGATTTTGTTATCATTAACAGGAAGCTCAGAGCCATTCAACCTCTGGGAAGGTTGTTTGCCCAAGTTTAGTTAGAGCAGTATAACCGGGGGGAGACCCCACATAAATGGGATCATCCCCAAACCAAAGTCAGGAAACCAATATGATGCATTAATTGCTGGAATTTCAAACAAATTAATTAAAATGCTAGAATTTCAAGGGATGATGAAGCAAAGGGGCACTGCAAGGGTGGAAGGCAGAATGTGTTTAAGTTTGAGAGATGGGTTAAGGCAAGGGGTTAGTACTAAGGTAATGAGTAGCAGGCAAAAGTGAGCATTCTCTTTTTACAGGATGTCTGATGTGTAGCACAGAGCAGGCATAGTGGCCTATAGGAAATCTACAAGTTCAGTCCAAAACCCTTACCTTTTCCCAAAGTAGAAAAATAGCTTCCAGAAATTCAAATATCATTGCAATACTGCATCAACATCTGGATGTTTTAATGTCATTTACTTTGGTGGATGTACATGCTATTTATTATGACACATTATTCTGAGAATCATTATTTAGTGCTTTCTTTAATTAGAGAATGTTAGACAGTTCTTATTACAGGATCTGGATTTGGATTAGGTGATTTGGGAGCCGGTGCAATGAAACAGGCTTAGCTCTGGACTGGATGTTGACAGGTTGTGGGGTTAACTCTATAACTGGGGTATAACTATGTATTAGTCAAGGTTTTCCAGAGAAGCAGAACCCACAGGAGACAGAAAGGAAGATAGATAAAGAGATGAGAGGGAGAGAGAGAGAGAGAAATTTCAAGGAATTGGCTCATGCAGCTGTGGGAG